TCATACTTAATCTCATGCTAGAAGAGGAACATTAACACTTCCATGTTAACACAATGCAATGCACTTGGCCAAAGCATAAACTGAGGTTATTCAACCAACCAAAATCACAATACAATATCCTCAATCCAAATAAACAACAAATCATATTAAACAAGCAAGATATACAATCAAATTATAATTCAAAGCTGCCTTTTATCACTTGTCCAATTCGGTTACCTCAAGGAACAATGATCTTCCTTGATTCCTCCTCACAAAGCCTATTAAATCAAGCATAAATATAGGCCATATAACCAAACAACTTAAACATAATCCTTAAACTTTAACTTAACATTTTCTCCCCCTTTCTTTGATTTTTACTAAAACGATTCCTCCTTTAGAATCAATAACCTCACGACTCATTCCTACACGATTTTTCATGAGAAATTCAAATATGGAATCAAATTTTTTGAAAATCAAACTCCTTCCCCATGAATTCACCTTGGCCGAAAAGGGGGTGTAATCTTCCAAAAATTTCATTTTTTATTCCAATAATTTTAAACACTTTCCAACAGCATATCCCTACACAAAAACATGTTTGAAACCCATTAGAATCATCAAATCAAGCCAAAACAATTTGCTTCTGCATGAACAGCGCTAGGCCGAAATCTTGCTCTTAAACCCTAGGTGGATTTTCTTCCAAAAACCAATCCATACACCACTTAATCTTGCTTATTTCACTTGGTATTTAAGGTTTCTATCCTTCCCTAAACCTTCCATAGACAGACCAAAAATTTGACAGCATTTACACTTAGTTTTTCAACTGAAAACTCAACCAAAACTACCTTAAAGCTTAGGGATAGGAAGGCTTAAGCATACCTTGGTGTTTCCTTGATGTAATTTGAATGATTCCTTGCCTTAAACACTTGAAATTTTCAAACAAATAGGGCTGGAGCTACAGTGACAGAGTCTCCCCTTATTTTTCCAATTTTCCAACATTTATTTGTATTTTCTAAAGGGATATATATAGAAAAATCTGATTTGCCTTCCCTCTCTCTATTTGCATGAAATTTGCCACCTCATGGGGGTTATGTGGCAGTCATCAAATGCTAGAAGAAGTCAGATTTGAACAAGTGGCCAATTTCCAGATTTTTCCAAGCATTTATCCATGACTTTCACATTTTATTTAATAAAAATAGAGGGACCTGGAAGCTGCACAAAATTAGGTCCTTATTGGGCTCAATTTGGGCCCCAAAAATGGTTTTGGATGGTCCAAAAAGATGGTCCACAATCCAAATCAAAATCCCAAACCTATTTGAAACTTTATCGGTTACTATTTACTAGTAACATTCCATAATTTTTTCAGACCTCCAAAAATTTATTTCTCTTCATGATAATTCACCTTTTAATGTGATAACATGATCTGAAAATTTTGAGAATTTCTTGCCACCTCTAGGTATTTATTTTGAATTTTCTCTAATTAGGCTTTTATTAGTGTCACTGTGGGAAAATAAATTCTCTAAGATTAATTCCTGAATTTTCAAGGCCTAAAACTAATTTTATAAATTTAAATAAATATTTAGATGAATTATCCATCCTTTTTCCAAATTTATTGAGGCCTCTAACTAATTAAAATAATTATTTTCCTCTGATTTTCTAATATTTTTCTGAAAAACCTCTGTTTACGAGAAATTCCGTAATAATCTGCTTTCACCATAATTTCACCTTTCGGGTATCAATCGAGTTTCCAAAACTTCTAATTTATACTATTCCCATTTTTCAGAAATTTTCTAGAATTTTTCTCAAATTTTTCCATTTTGCCCTTCCTAGATTGATAATTACGAAAATGCTAGCCCGGATCTTATTGGGGTTTCACATCAAAAGTTGGTTCGTCTCCCTGTCTAGTTTTTACATTGGTCCCCATTCTAATTTTTGATTCCCTATGTCTAAGTAAAATTTCTCAGGATGTGACATTACGCTCCCAGCGCATGAAACGGCATTAATAATCACAAAACAACAACACCCTCTATGGTATCTTCCAGTGCCTCGGCTATGCCAATGTCCAGACTTGTCAAAAATGTGTTTCCGGCGGAGTCAAAGATATCCTTCAGAAATGCCCCAACAATAAAGGAGCCGTCGGTTGGTACGACGAGTGCTGGATACGTTTCTCCTGCGACTGGTATTTAATTTCTTCAACAAAATGGAAGAAGATCCTAGGTCATTTTTAACTAACAACACCAAGGCAACAGACACCACTGGCTTTATGAAGTGGTTGGGTCAAACCTTGGGAGTGGTTGTGAAGGAGGCATCTGAAGGCCGAAGCAAGAAACTTGCCAAGAAAGAAGACTATAATGCTTTTGATCCTCTATATATGGCGCAATGCACGTCGGCTATATTTGAGATTGATTGTTACAACAGTCTCAATAAATGTATCGACAAATTGCATATATGCTGTGATGGAAATGGAGGGGGAGGAAAACTAAAGGAATGAAACGTGCCCTTTTTACCAGGAAGCGCCTCCTCGACCACCAGCTCCTTCCAAAGGTCAATTATCATTCCTTCCAGGAAAAGTATATATATGAGACTGAATATCTAAGTCTTCTCCTTCCATCACATATACATGTTTTCTTTGCCACAGTAGTTCAAACGACGATACTCATAATGCAAGTCTCACCCTGCATCCTGTGCCTTAGACGGAGAGCATGCAAGAATGTTTCAGTCCCAAAAACGGGTATTGAATTAGCCTTCATGTTTAGATAGACGTGCAATTTTCACTTTACATGGTAATTAGTATGTTTTCATTCATGAATAATATTAGAAATTTACAATGACCTAACAGTTGCAATGATAGAATTTCAAATGAACGTGTATATATATATGATGAAAACACTTTGCCACTGGCTATATATATTGCTTATCAGAAATCTCAATACATCCAAATGGAAATATTGCAGAACATAACAGAACCGTACAGCAAAACGTAATGAAATAGCAGAAAGGAAGGGAAGCAACAGGGGAGGTACAGAAGATAGCAGAGGGAATCTATCCAAAAAGGAAATCGTTCCAAAATCTAGCACACACTCCCCAACAGCCTTTGTCCTATTATATTGAGTTGTCTAATTCCTGAAGTTTCCATGATTTCTTCCTGATCCATTGGCTTCTATGTGGCCTATCATGGATAATGGAGCTTCCATCTGTCACTGAAACCGAGTGCTCTTAGCCCATTTAGTTTTGGATCATAACATTACCTCCCTCTTTAAATCAGACCTTATCCTTAAGGCCAAAAGACGGATATAATTTGCGTAATGTATCGGCATCTTCCCAAGTGCGGTCATTGGAAGCATCCCACTTAACCAGATATTGTCGAACCCATTGGTTACCGACTTGAACCGTAAGAGTGTCTAACAGATCCACTGGCTACGAAATGGGTCCCTCAGGCATCGTCAATAATGGTAGAGGAAAATAAGGGTTGCCAGGCTCATCCCCAACAAATTTCTTGAGCAGGAAGACATGAAAAACTGGATGTATCTTTGCCTGTTCTGGTAGTTGGAGTCGATAAGTGACTTGACCAATTCATTTAATCACCTGAAAAGGTCCGAAGTAGCGCATTAATAGTTTTTGATATTTCCATAGTTGGACCAAATGCTAGCGGTAAGGTTGAAGTTTGACGAGCACCCAATCATGAATTTGAAATTTAAGTTCAGTCCGCTTTTTATCTGCGAAGTGCTTCATCCTCGTCTGAGCTTGCTGAATATTACCTTTCAAAATTTCTAACAGCTCATCTCGTTGCATTAAGTGTTAATGGACATCCAGTGGAGTATCTTTAGATGAAGAACGGCGAAGCAAAGGAGGTGGGTCTCTGCCATAAACTATCTTAAAGGGTACCATGCCGATAGATGTGTGAAATGAAGTATTGTACTAGAATTCAGCCCATGGGAGGAACGAAAGCCATTTACGTGGGTATTCATGAACCATGCATCTCAGATACATTTCGACACATTTATTAACAGCTTCTGATTATCCATCGGTCTGAGGTGGTATGCAAAGCTAAAACAGAGTGACGTTCCCTGTAATTTCATCAAATGTCTCCAAAAGCTACTAGTAAAAGTACAGTCTCTGTCTGAAACAATGGTCTTGGGCACATCATGTGACTTAACCACATTGTTTAAAAAAACCTTTGCTACTTGCGCAGCATTAAAATTCGGAGATAATGCCATGAAGTGGCCATATTTCGACAACTTGTCTACTACTACAAAGATCGTAGCATATCCTCTGACTGGTGGGAGTCCCGTTATGAAATCCATGGCTATGTCTTCCCAAATTCTCTCTGGAATAGGCAGGGGATTGAGGAGCCCCACGGGACATAGTTGACTGGTTTTGGCCTCTTGGCAAACCATGTAGTTACGTACAAAAATACGAATATCATCACGCATTCGAGGCCAATAAAAGATCCTTTCTATCCTTTGAAATGTGCGCAGAAACCCAGAATGCCCACCAATTACCAAAGAGTGAAATTCTTCCAACACTCGACGGATAAGATGAGGATCATTGTGTGGTAATACCAGTTTGTTCTTCCAGTATAATTCCCCTCTTTTTATCTGAAATTTTTCTGTATCTGTTAAGTCCGAAGGAAACTCTTGTTTCAACTGCTGAATTAAATCTGAAGCATGCACCTGGTTATAAACGAATTCCATAAATGAATCCCCCATTGAAGAAATGGCCATACAGGTTGCCCGTGACAGAGCATCAGTGACTTGATTATTCACCCCTGGTTTATATTCGATTCAAAACTGATACCCGAGCAGCTTGGGAAGGCATGATTCTTGCTCCGGTGTATGGATCACCTGATCTTGCAAGTGTTTGGGGCTTGCATGGTCAGTCCTTATAACAAATGGATGACCGATGAGATAATGGTGGAACTTAGTGACGGCCTCGGTGATAGCATATAATTCTCGTATGTACGCAGATTGAGACTACATTCTCGGTGATAACTTCTTAGAGAAATAAGCAATGGGATGGTTATCTTAGCTAAGCACGGCTCCTATACCCACTCCAAAGGCATCAGTTTCGAGTATAAAGGATTTTGAGAAATCCTGTAGAGTCAAAATTGGAGCCTCAGTCAAAACATCTTTGAGCCTCTCAAAGGCAGATTGAGCTTGATCATCCCACTTGAAAGCATCTTTGGCTAACAAACGAGTTAATGGGTCGGCTATATTGGCATACCCTTTTATGAATCTTCTATAATATCCACTCAATCCCAGGAATCCCTTTAGTTGTGTCACGTTTTTTGGACTGGGCCATTGTCGTATAGCCTGAATCTTCCTTCCATCCATCTCTACTCCTTTTTCCGAGACTATGTGGCCCAGATATTCAATCTTTCTCTGTCCAAAAGAACACTTGGACATTTTTGCAAAAAGCTGATGGTTGTGCAATTGAGTCAGAACCATATCCAAATGCTATAAATGTGCCTCCCACGTGCTACTGTAAATCACAATATCATCAAAAAATATGAGGATGAAGTGACGTAGGAAAGGTCGAAAAATGGAGTTCATAAGTGACTGAAAGGTCACCGGTGCATTTGACAATCCGAACGGCATTACCAACCATTCATATAATCCCAGATGAGTACGGAAAGCGGTCTTCTCTCTGTCAGCTTCCCGCATCAAGATTTGATGATATCCTGATCGAAGATCCAGTTTGGAATAAAACACCGAGCCATGAAGTTCATCGATTAGCTCATCCACAGTTGGCATCGGAAATGAATCTTTTACGGTTACTGCATTTAAGGCTCTATAGTCAACGCAAAACCTCTATGTCCCATCTTTTTTTTAGACCAAAATAACTGGAGCTGAAAATGGACTTGAACTGGGCTGTATCAACCCTTCATCAGGAGCTCAGAAACGATCTTCTCTATTTCATCTTTCTGGCTAACCGGATATCAATAAGGACGCACCTTAACCGAACTGGTTCCTGGCAATAATTCGATGCGGTGTTCATGGCTTCTAGATGGTAGTAAACCATGTGGTTTATCAAATACCGATCGATATTTTATAAGAAGCTGAAGCATATCGTCTATGTGCCTTCCGGAAATTCCAAACCGTCCCCACTGTCTTCTATTCGTTCAACTGTATATAATTCCGCCATAGCCTCTGTTTGTTGTATCCTTACTAAATGGTTAAACTGAGCCTGCAAAATAGGTGGTCCTCTAAATCCCTTTAGTGTTATGAATTTCTCGTCCTCCAAGAATTTGATAGTCGACGTACTGTAATCGGCCACATGCGGACCTAGAGTCTCGAGCCAGTCAGCACCAATGACTATATCATATCCTGCTACCGGTAGTAAGTATAAGGTCATGATCAGAGTATGCCCCTGAATCTGCACAGGAAGATCCACCACTGTTTCATTGCTCCTCAAAATCTTTCCGAAGCCGCCTAATACCCTGAGTTCCTTTGCTAAAACAATAGGCAGTTGGAGGTGATGTACAATACGAGGGTGAATAAAAGTGTCCAAACTGCCTCCATCCAATAATATTTGTACATCAAGACCGTGAACAGAGCCATTAAATTTGATAGTCATCGGACCCTGAGTCCCACGAAGAGCGTGTACTAATAAGTGATGTAATGTAGCGTCAGCTTCGCGTGTTTCCGTCTCTTCTAACGCTATTTCTTCTTCGACCTCATCTTCTGCCTGAAGCATCATGAGTTGCTTGTTCGGACATCTGTGGGTGGGTGTGAACTTGGCGTCACATGTATAGCACAAACCCTTCTCTCTCCTAACTTGCATTTCAGCTGGAGTCATCTTTTTTATCGGAGGCATGTTGGGCATCGGAAGTAGTGGAGGTAGGTTAGCTTTCCCTCCCGTCGTCAAGCTAGATGTTCCTGTAGCCCCAGTATTTGCTTTCAGACCACTACCATTTCCCTATGATGAAGACCCGTATGAGGATCTACTCTTCCGCATATTGACGATATAGGTCGTGGTGTTTGAAAATAGTCGGGCTAATGCCATCACTTTTATGACGGTAGTCGGTTGCTGCACCATCACATCTCGGCGTAGATCAGGTTTCAAGCCCCCTAGATAGCAATCAAGCAAGGCAAGTTCTGGGACATCCTTAGTGCGATTGGCTAGCGACAAGAATGTCGTATTATACTCATCTAACTACCCCTATTGGGTCAGCTTGAATAGCCACGCGCATGCACAATCAAACTGTGTAGGGCCATATTGTTCCTCTACAGCATGAGCAAGAGCTTGCCATGATGGTATTCTCTGCGCTTTCTCAAGCATCTGGAACCAAGGTAGTACATCGCCATCAAAATGCACTGACGCAATAACCATCCTCTGTGGATCCTCAACTCCATAATATTTGAAATACTGTTCAGCTTTAAAAATCCAGTCTAACGCATCTGTCCCATCGAAACGGGGAAAATCCAGCTTGATCTGTTTCCCCATATATAGAATGGAGTTGGATGATAGCGTCTCCGGTTCACCATGAGAATGAAATGTTGTCTTCGGATTGTCTCGCGATGGTTCCACCTTGCTATTAATATTGTCCACAGCCTTGGTCAATGCCTCCAGTAGACTTTCCATATGTGAGAAACGTCCCTTGGCTTCCTCCATAAAGTCATTGGCCTTTTTCATATCTTTGGAGCTCCTTGAGTCTTGTGTTTTCTGCCATAGCACCTCTCAATGAAAGCACCAATTGCAATGATAGAATTTCGAATGAACGTGTATATATATATATGATGAAAACGCTTTGCCACTGGCTATATATATTGCTTATCATAAATCTCAATACATCCAAATGGAAATATTGCAGAACATAACAAAACTGTACAGCAAAACGTAATGAAATAGCAAAAAGGAAGGGAAGCAGCAGGGGAGGTACAGAAGATAGGGGAGGGAATCTATCCAGAAAGGAAATTGTTCCAAAATCTAGCACACACTCCCCAACGGCCTTTGTCCTATTATATGAGCTGTCTAATTCCGAAGTTTCCATGATTTCTTCCTGATCCGTTGGCTTCTACGTGGCCCATCATGGACAATGGGGCTTCCATCTGTCACTGAAACCAAGTGCTCCTGGCCCATTTGGTTTTGGATCATAACAACAGTTTTCAATTGACCATTCAAAGTAAACATATAATGTTTGTAAAGTCTTGGGAAATTGATTATATGTAGCTGAGATTTCAAGTGCGAAGCCGCTACATTTTGATTTTCGGTGACATCAAATCAGCCACAAACGACTTCTCCCCCGACAATAAACTTGGAAAAATTATTTTCAAGTGGATATGGCGAGGTGTACAAGGTAGATAATTCTATTTTCTTGATAGATATCGCGAGCACTCTCAAACATAAATTATTTTCGTTTATAAATTGAATTTAGTAGCTGGTTATCTTCTATGCAGGGCATTTTACCTTATGGATAAGAGTTAGCTGTGAAGAGACGATCAAGTAGTTCCAACCAAGGTTTGCCTGAATTTAAGAACGAAGTAGTGACGATGGCAAAACTTCAACACAGAAATCTTGTAGGTTTTCTCGGATTTTGTTTGGATGAAGAAGTAAAGATACTTGTGTATGAATTTGTGCCTAACAAAAGCTTGGATAATTTTTTGTTTGGTGAGTTATGCAGAATTAATTTTTGAATTTAGGTAAACGAAATAATTCTTTTTAGTAATTTGTTTGAACTTGGTTGAGATGTGAATATAACCCTTTATCAGGACTTGAAAATAATGGCCCGTTTGGTTCATGGGATCAATGGGCATGAAATGGAATGGAATGATTGGGAGTGTAATGTAATATAATTATGATTATAATAAAGTTGTTTGGTACAATATTAAGAATGATAAAATTAAATCTGTTATTTATATTTAATTAAATACAAATAAAATTGAAATTACAAATTTTTGTTTGATTTACTGCTTATTTCCTCTTCCTCATCCATTGACACAATACTTAACCATCACTGTTGGCCTTCATTCACCTTTATAGTGCCTCCTTCGGAGCGATCATTCTTCATCCCCTAGGTTCTTTTCGATCCAGGTGCGTCACATGAGTAGAATCACCACTCCCACAAGTTAGAAATAGAAAACATCCCACTTCCAAAAAATCCTCCCCCCTACCTTCTTTCACGTCCAAGTGTGTCATCCCACCCTCTCCCATTAGTTTTATTATTAGCTGATCAAAGTCTCACCAACCTTCCTCACTGCCAATGTTCCTTGCACAAGATTAGATCTATGTTTGCCATCAGACATCTAGATTCTCGTCACTGACCTTCATCATAACTACAACTAATGCTCTGTTATGCCGTCGCCTTTTTTTTCCAACCCTACCTCCATCCCTCTCTTCTACTTCTGCCATAGCCCATGATTCTTGGCAACGAGGATTTCCTCCTCTGCTTCATCTTCATCATCTCCAATGAAGATTGTTCTAATCACATTTTCATTGCTTGTATCTTTGTTTTGATATTTTTGTTTTTACTTTTTGCTAGCACTGGTTCATTTTTCATTTTCATCCTCATGATGATGAACTGAATAGGGAAGATGAAGTTGTTCAGTTGACGGGGGGGTCTCCTCAACATAGGGAAGGCCACCGATGGAGGAGGGTTGGTAGTGGTCAACGAAGATGATGAAGAAGGCAAGGGCAAATGCTGTCTTTTTTCAGATTCACACATGTTGTAATCTCCATTCTTTACTATTATGGATGTAATCCCTATTACCTTATATCAAGTAATCATGATGCATTTTATAATCCCCTTTACCACCTAAATGTGCCAACCAAACGCTTGAAAGAAGCTATTGCATCAAGATTACAGGGAATGCTAATGCAATGCATTGAACCAAACAGGCACTAAAGGTAAATTGAATTGGAGAAATCGATGCAAGATTATTGAAGGCATTGCAAGGAGAATACTTTATCTTCATAGAGATTCTCAATTTAAAATTATATATCGCAATCTAAAATTTAGCAATTACTGTTGGATGAAGATTTGAATCCAAAAATTTCTAATTTTAGTATGGCTAAAATATTCAGAGTTGATCGAACTCAAGCAAGCACAAATAAAGTTGTTGGGACATTGTAAATTGCTTGAATCAACAATTTTATTTTAGTCTTTTTATAATAATTTATAATGAACTACGCAAGAGAGATTATTTGCCATCTAATATGTGCTATTTTGTAGCGGCTACAGCGCTCCGATCCATGCTCATATTTTTTTTCAAATCTGATATGTATAGTTTTGGTGTCTTAATCTTGGAGATCATTAGTGGCAAGAAGAATACATCTTTCTATGAATCAAGCTATGCTGAAAACCTGCTAACCTATGTAATTATACTATCAAAGTAAATAAACTAAAATGTTAGCCAGCTAGGGAGACCAAAATAATTATATATGATTGGATTTGCAGGCCTGGAAACTCTGGAGAGAAGGATCGCCATTAGAATTGCCGGATCCTAGTCTAAGAAATTCATGTCCAGGAAATGAGGTTCTTAAACGCATTCATATAACCTTGTTGTGCATCCAGGAAAATCCACTTGAATTGCTGGATCCTCATCAGCCAGCATTCTTGTTTCAACGCCATAGAACAGAGTCAAACAGTCTAGCACGTTGAGAATAGCTCGGATCAATCTACAAGCAAGTCTATGCAACAGCCTGTGGATGAAGATCCAATTTCTGACTTGTATCCTCGCCAATATATCCTTGTTTACTTAAGTACTCAACTCAGTAGATACCTCAACGATTCATTAAGATTGAAACTAGTGTTTCGGAATAAAAATTATGGCGAAAGGAAGTTTAAATAGGTGTATTATCAAGAATTAAGACAAATTATTTGTATATGATATGAAAGCATATCATACATCTTTTTCTCTCAGTGATGAATGTTGTTTCTGTTAATGATTGTCAAACCATTCATTACACAGTTGATATTTTGAACAATTGTAATAATTAAAGAAAGAAAATCTTGAGAGGATCTATGTCGATCTTAGTTAAAACGGAATTTAATGAGGGAAGAGAGCAAAAGGGAAAGTGATAATTGTTAAAAGTTTTAGGCAAAAGACAATAAGAGAGACCCAAAAAGTGGGTCTTCCCTCTTCATTGTCGCTCATGGCTTAAAGAGAAAGGCGTCCTCCATGGGACCGAAGAAAATTCATGGTTCGTACAAAACTAATGTTGTTTAATTTTTATGTGGGACTAAGATAGCTGCTTTATCTTGGTATGCTAAATTCGAAATTGTTGATATTAAGATATTGCGATGATGGACTTAATCAAAAAAAAGGATACTGGCATACTGCGATGATTACTAAACAATTCCTAATGTGAGTGCACAGTGATCGAGATCCGTGATGCCAAACATGAACACTTATCTTTAATTACCGTAGAAAGAGGTTTCTGGTGAGCAATATAATATTCAGCAAAAAGAAATTGATTTGGATGGAGGAAAAAAATAAGAGGAAATTTTTCTAAAAATAACAAAAAAAAAAAATGATTGCTATGTATTTTCGAGAGTTTTCTTGAATTTCCTATTATTTTTCCCCTTTATTTTTTCTTCCTGTGGGGTGAGTAGGTAGATATGCCATGGCGTCTATGAAGGGCCAAGGGGCATCAGGAAGGAAAGTCGTCGATCTTCAATGTCGCATATAAATATTTAATATGTAGCCAGATTTTGATATATAGGTATGTGTGCGCGCGTGTGTGTTTGTGCCTATTAAATTATGCTCTAAAATTATAAGAGAATGCAATCTAACATAAGTTAATTCTTTTTTTTTTTTTTGTATAACATTACATATTGTGTTCGGAAAATTACACAAAGGCCGTCCCTACTTTTTCCCAATTTTCCATTCCTCCCCTAAATTCTCCGCTTATTGCGCAAACTTTTGATTTCCAACACGATAAACTAGTTAATTAACCCACCGAGATTCGCTAATTTGGGCCCATTCAACACTAGATTGAGAAGTTTATGTCGGCTCAAAATTTTTTAACAAAATACTCCAATACTCTTCGGCTTTGCTTTAATTACACACATGTTCCCTATATTTTTAAACTCACAGACACATACATAAAAATATTCCGTAAAATTAGAATATACTAGTTAAGTTCCATTTTCCTCAACTATCTAACATATTATAAAATTTATTAATTTTGATTATATTATGAAATTTTATGTTTTGAATTTTTCCACAAATTTGTTGAAACTCATTTATTTTGCTTTTATAATGGAAAAAATATATATATTAAACGTCTGATTTTGTTGTATAAATAATACAAATTTGAGAGATTGTATAAAACATTTAAAATTATTAAACATATTTTTGTGCTAGCATTTATGATTTATAAACATATTTAGTCAAGTATATATTTATTACAATAATTAATCAAATTTTTAATCAAGCTTTTAACCTCAACGGCCAATTCGGTTACCCCATTCTAATGTTTGATTCCCTATGTCTAAGTAAAATTTCTCAGGATGTGACATTACGCTGCCAGCGCATGAAACGGCATTAATAATCACAAAACAACAACACCCTCTATGGCATCTTCCAGTGCCTCGGCTATGCCATCGTCCAGACTTGTCACAAATGTGTTTCCGGCGGAGTCAAAGATATCGTTCAGAAACGCCCCAACAATAAAGGAGCCGTCGGTTGGTACGACGAGTGCTGGATACGTTTCTCCGGCGACTGGTATTTAATTTCTTCAACAAAATGGAAGAAGATCCTAGGTCATTTTTAACTAACGTACAACACCAAGGCAACAGACACCACTAGCTTTATGAAGCGGTTGGGTCAAACCTTGGGAGTGGTTGTGAAGGAGGCATCTGAAGGCCGAAGCAAGAAACTTGCCAAGAAAGAAGACTATAGTGATTCTCATCCTCTATATATGGCGCAGTGCACGTCGGCTATATCTGAGATTGATTGTTACAACAGTCTCAATAGATGTATCGACAATTTGCATATATGCTGTGATTTTTTTTTTGGGGGGGGGGGGGTGCTGAAGCCTAGTTGCTATCTAAGGAACGAAACGTACCCCTTTTACCAGGAAGCGCCTCTTCCTCCACCAGTTCCTTCCAAAGGTCAGTTATGAATGGTTTGACAATCATTAACAGAAACAACATTCATCACTGAGAGAAAAAGATGTATGATAAGCTTTCATATCATATACAAATAATTTGTCTTAATTCTTGATAATACACCTATTTAAACTTCCTTTCGCCATAATTTTTATTCCGAAACACTAGTTTCAATCTTAATGAATCGTTGAGGTATCTACTGAGTTGAGTACTTAAGTAAACACCCAATTTTATTTGCTTCTGCGGCCTACCTTTTGAATCTTAGAAAAAATTACAATTAATTTTCCCATCCTTTCATATCTACCTTTTCATTTTTTTTCAGGGTAAAGGTACATTGAGCACTATCTTATTTTTTAGGTACATTCAAAATCTTGATCTTTTATATGATATATCCAGTACCCCAATATTATTTTTTAAGTTAAATCTAATATTTTGATTTTTAAGTGCTAGATGCATATTTACTCTTTGATTTATTCTACATCTCCTTCTAAATGAAAATGATATGAGTAGATCTTGTAAAAAAATTACTTTTTATCTTGATACTTAAATTTACAGGAAATAAATAAATTAAATAGATATAAAATATTTATAGATGTTTTTTGAACTGTAATATATCCAAATCTTTAACTTATAGGAAATAAATAAATAAATTAAATTATCTTTTCATGATTTTGTGCGTGGACAAAAATTTTAATATATCCAAAATCTACTCATATCATTTTTATTTAGAAGGAGATATAGAATTAAAAAAAAAAAGAATAAAGGTACATCCAACACCTTAGTCTTATTTTTAATACATTTTCAGTACTTTAAAAATTAGAATGTTGGATGTACGTAACTAGAAAGAAATAATATAGGGTTACTGAATATATCATATAAAAGATCAAGATTTTGAATATACCTAAAAAATAAGATCATAGTGCTGAATGTGTCTTTACCCTTAAAAAAATAGAAGGGGTAGATATGAAAGGATGGGGAAATTAATTGTAACTTTCTCTAAGATTGAAAAGGTGAGAGGTGTGGCAGAAGCAAATGAAACAGGGTATTGAGTGTAAACGTACAGCAGGCTCTTTCAAGCAAAGTCTTGGCATGATGAACCTTTTCACATTGACAAATGAAAATCATACGGAAATTCCTCTTCCGTGAATAATGTTGGGTTGTTGGCCTCTGGTGGCCCAACCCTTTAACACCCCTTTCTAATTTTGCTTTTCTCCCCTTTTGCTTTTTATCATCAGCTTTATTCTGCATGTGAAATGAAAGACATTATGATATATGACTACTCATGAAATGTTTTAGTCTTGTATTTTTAATATTTTACAAAGAATATAAATTGGGTTTTTTTTTTGGGGGGGGGGGGGGGACATTATATATGAACAATAGAAAATACTTCTCGTTCCATTTAAAACTTAAGAATCAAAAGGAAAACAATAATAACAAGAATGAGAAGGGAAGAATATGGAAAGATGCGGTTGTAGCGTTAGAGGTCCAACCGTGTGAAAGCTTTGCTTCACTTTATTTAGCAGATTCCGTGAAGACGCCTGCAGAAGCATTGGGCAGGAAGATGGATATGCCATTTCTGAAACTGCTATCCTATTTTCTGCTTCTCTCCTCCTTCGATCTGGCTTCTTCTGAAGTTGACATCCCGGCTTACTTTGACCACAACTGCACAATCAATAAAAACTTCACTTCCGATAGCTCCTACCCGTCCAACCTTAACAGTCTCTTCGGTATCTTGTATGACAAGGCCACGGGCGGTGAGACTCCCGAATTTTTCAACACCAGCTATGAGGACGTCGTCTATGGAGAGTTCATGTGTCGAGGCGACGTCCCCATTCAGGTCTGTCGAGATTGCGTTCAGGACGCCATAAATCGAATAGCCTCAGAGTGTCCCTACAACAAAGAGGCAGTCATCTGGTACGACCAGTGCTCCCTCCGCTATTCCGATCGTTCTTTCTTCTCCACCCTCGATCAACTGCCTAGAGTTAGCAGCCAGTTGGTGGCCATGGACGTGACCTGGGAAACAGACACGTGTCTTCCTGGCACACCAGATCCGTGCTCCATGATTTCATACCATAGACGTCGATATCGTCAAGAAAGGAATATTTCAAACCCAGATGCATACGCAGAATTAAATAAGACGTTGAGTGATGCGGTGGTGGAGGCAGCGAAGTCAGGTGCCAAGAAATTTGCAGCAAAAGATGCAAACTTTAGAGGGGGATCGCTGTACACTCTTGTACAGTGCACGCCGAATCTGTCCCAACAATTCTGTAGCAAGTGTCTATATGGCATCATGAATCTTCTTCCGAAAGAAAATACTACACGCGAAGGAAGAATTCAGAATCCGAGCTGCAATTTGAGATTCGGAGAAGACCGATTTTATTACAAGGGCGACCAGCCTCCCTCCACTGCATCTGAAGGTGATGTCACTATTTTCTTTCTTTCCTTTTCTTTGCGTTTTTCAATTTTCAACTTATTATTTATGTGTTTTTCTTTTAATTAAGACTTTAACTTAATTTGCTTTATTAGTTAACCCTTGTATAAAAACTAAAAATCCTAATAGAATAAAGTTATAAGAACTAATATTACTAAAGAAATAAAATTAAATGATTTAATTAAGAGGAAAAATATATATACGAAATTAAAAATTAAAAAAATAAAATAAATATCAATACGGTTTTCCTTTTCTCTTTTAGGGAATGCATGGTAACTATTATCATTGAGACTCCATGAAAGGATATGAAAAGCTTTTCCATATGTTTTTTTCTGTCACCGTGTCACGCGTTGTTCTCAATCTCACATTTCAACATTAAAGCAATCAATTTTAATTTTCATAAAAATTGCATAATTTGTTACTCACGATAATTTGGTGTTTTTGTGGGATTGATTATATGTTTGCTCAGTACTCCTTGAATCCCTAATATAGGACCTAATTAAAGAGTTAACGTTGATTTTATATATAAGATCTTATCAATTTTTTTCAAATTAACTGTATTGATATTCTCCTAATAATAATTAAGTAGAAGAGGGAGGGAGAAAATTAAGGAAGATGTTTTAAAAAATCATATTAATTAATTTAATCAATATTTTTAATCTATTAAAATTAGTTAATTATATCTCATATTAAGGATAAGAGGAGTATTAAATTTATATAAATGCAAGCTTTGAATTATTGTTACTGATTTCCATTTTACAAACTAAGGATTAAAGTCAAAGGAGAGATACATTTTTGCGAATTTATCTATTTAGTTAATTTTGGTCATTTTTACTGGAGGGAGACCCGACGCGTGTTTGAAGACATCGCCACAGAAATTGCAGAAGCTTTTGAGGTTGTCAAACACGCATGGACCTGGAAAGAGGCGGGATGAGCTTTTGAGTTTTCTTTGGGTCTTGGTTTTTATTTGATGTTTTGGGCTTCGGCCCCTTTCTGTACCCAATAAAATGACTTAATCCTGAACATTTTGCTTCTGTTGTTAAACAGCGCTTGGACGTCCTGATCTTACAGGCAGCAACTGCTCGACCACCGAAGCCAATGACCATCAGTACCTAAACAACCTCAGAAATCTCACTCAACAACTCTCCAAGGCATCCAACGACACCAAAAACAAAGGATTCTACAGCACCAGCGTCGGAAACAAGCCGGACACCATCAACGGCCTCTTCATGTGTCGGGGAGATGTGCCCCTTGAGCTCTGCCATGAATGCGTCAATGAGGGAATCGAGCAACTAAACTTTTCGTGTCCCAATTCAAAGGAGGCTATCATATGGTATGATTGTGTATGCTTCGCTATTCCAATCGCTTTTTCTTCTCTACCCTGGACACACTGCCTGTATATACAAAACCCGGTGGGGATATGCTTGAAAACGAAACAAAGACCTTCAATCGGCTGTTAGGGAATACATTGAATGATCTAGTGGCGGCAACGACGAACTCATCAGAGAGTGTAGGAGTGAAAAATTTTGAGACAAACACAAAATCCAGCGATTTAGAGTTGAAAACGTTGTATACTCTTGCACAATGTACTCCAAACCTGTCCAGCCAAGACTGCAGAAAATGTCTACAAGGTGCTTTGCAAAATATCATGTCATGTTGTTCTGCAAAGAAAGGAGGACAGGTCATGAATCCTAGCTGCAACTTGAGGTTTGAATCGTACATATTTTATAATGACAGTAAAAATGTTGTTTCGGTGCCACCTGCGTATCCCCCAGATGAGACAGGTCCCCCAGGAAATCCAGGTAAAGTAATTGCGATCTAATCATTTTTCTTACAGAGATATAGTTAACTAAATGCAAATTGATATTCTTAATTCGCTCTCAATTTTGTGCTCACAAATCTTCTCCATTTCTTGTCTGTGGAATGTACAATCCCATTTAATTTACTCAGGAGAAGATAACGACCACTCACGAACAATTATAATAGCGGTGGTGTCTGTCACTATTGGCTCAATCATGCTCCTTTGTTTCGGCTACTATTACTGGCAGAGAAAAAGGAGCAAGAGCTATAAGGAGATTCTGAAGAAAAACTGTATGTATGCTTTTTTTTCTTCCCTTGAAAAAACAAGAAAGAAAACTCAGTCAACTGTGAGAAAAACTATGTTGTTGTAGTGTACTTACCTTGAAATGTACCTATATCTATAGTTGGAAGTGAAGGAGCCATGTTAGAGTCATTGCAGTTCAATTTGGCAACAATTGAAGCTGCAACAGATAAGTTCTCAACTGAAAATAGAATAGGCAAAGGTGGATTTGGAGAAGTCTTCGAGGTAACTTAATTATGCGATCAAATCCACGTGTGTGCTTGTGTATATCATTAATTGCAAGTATTTCCCACCCCCTCATTGTCTGACTATTTATGATTTCAGGGCATTCTTCCCGATGGCAGCAAAATAGCTGTAAAGAGATTGTCAGAAAATTCTAGTCAGGGCTTATTAGAATTCAAGAATGAGGTTCTATTAATTGCCAAACTTCAACATAGAAACCTGGTGGCACTATTAGGATTTTGCCTGAAAGACGAAGAAAAAATACTTGTTTATGAATATGTTCCCAACATGAGTCTGGATTACTTTTTATTTGGTTTGTTTCTTCTAACCAAACTCATCTTACCATTTTTTCAATTTTCTTATTCATGTACTGTCCATTCTTTTGTTAGTCTTGGAGGTGAACATATCTGTCATTCAATTTAATACTCACAAAGTAATCTAATTATGAATAGGTTCACAAAAGCCAAGAATGTTAAATTGGCTTGAGCGCCACAAAATTATAGGAGGCATTGCTGGAGGAATTCTTTATCTCCATGAACATTCACGCCTTAAAGTAATACATCGAGATCTCAAACCTAGCAATATATTGTTAGATGATGAGATGAATCCAAAAATTTCTGATTTCGGCTTGGCAAGAATGGTTGGCATTAATGAAACCAGGGGGAACACAAATAGAATTGTTGGAACATTGTAAGTTCTTTCTCTCTCTTTTTTCTATCTTTGTCTTTCTCTAGAGGTATGTGTGTATCTTGCACATGTACTTTGCTATTGAATTTAAATATTGGCACAAGATTTTGCTCAAAAATTGGCACAAGATTGTGCTAATATTCTAACATATATTGATATATTTATTTGTTATTTTATATATATATTTATTACAGGGGTTATATGTCTCCAGAATATATTAAATTTGGACTATTTTCTGAGAAATCAGATGTTTTCAGCTTTGGGGTGATGGTTTTAGAAATTATTAGTGGAAAGAAGAATATAAATTCTCATCGTGAATATCCTGAATCTCAATATGCTGATGGACTATTGAGTAATGTGAGTATAAAACTTTCAATATTTCTCAAATAATCATCTCATACCTTTCATCATGGTCATCTTTATAAGCATCAAAGCAGTCATTGGAGCTGATGTTAACAATATTCTATAATCAAATTAATAGCAGGGCCCTATTTTGAATTAACGGTTTGACATAATGGTAGGCTTGGAAGCATTGGAGGGACGAAAAATTGATAGCGATGGTGGATCCAAATCTGACAGAAGTTGAGTCACACAGTGAAATAATCAAATGCATCCATGTCGGCTTGTTGTGTGTTCAAGGAAATCCAGAAGTTAGGCCTTCCATGAATGAAGTTGTTCAATATCTAAGTAATGATTCAATTGAATTACCAATTCCTCAAGAACCAGCATTCTTCATACATAGTCAAATGGAACCAGTAGCAACCACCAGAGAAATGGAGGGTCAGCTTGCCAACCACAATCAATATTCCATCAGTGAAATGTCGAATAGTACACTATTTCCTCGTTAGATCGGAGTAGATCAGACTTCAACTTTTGTTTTTCTCTACTCTGGGAACTGATGGTTTGTATTTTATTTTTAAAATACGCGTGCAATAACAATATAAAATTGATCATTTCAGATTTGGATTTGTTTTTGGCCCCTTTTTTCTTCTGCCGTCCATTAAGAGGCTCTGTCTTTGTATTTAATTTGTGCAATACTTTTATCTCGTAGATACCAAACAGAGCATCTGCATTTAAGAAAAAGCAGAAATAAAAGGATTTTACTGGTGAGGAAAAGTTGGCTCAACGAGACTTCATTTGTAGAGCATGATTCTTTACTTACAAATCAATTAGTGAGCTCCATTTGACAATGCAAAAAAAAAAAAAAAGTTGCTCTGGAAGTGACGGCTGAGTTAAATAATTGCTGTGATATTACAATTGTGGCTTTGCGTTTGGATTTTCTTGAATACAAAACAACCCGACGATGTACTAATCACTTCATTATATGATCTGAATTCAATATTTATCCTTGAATCCTATATCTCTGACAACTTTTCATCCCCCCACCGATTACAAACTTGTAACCATTAAGTCTAGCTAATTATTTTAATCATCATCCTTTTATTGGAAAATGTATTATTGAATAATAATATCAACATTACCATTTATGTTGAATCTCATCATTTGGGTACAATAACATAAAAATACTTGTTCTCTGATTAACAAGGTAGCAAATTGAGTCTTGATGGCAAAGGACAAGATGAAATAAAAGCCTCGTCCTACCTAGGATAGAATTCACTTGTAGACATTTCATTAATAGAATCTTTACTTTCGGTATTAATAAGCTCCATTTGGCCCTACAGAAAGAAAGCAGGTAGATAGAAAAGCTAGGGTAAAAGGAATTGAATAATCCGAAGCACAGTGCTCTGCGTTCCTTTATTGAATATATAGACAAGAATACAATAGCTAGAGGACAAAACGCATTACAAAGAATCAGCAGAAATAATTGAGAGCCTATTGAAACTAGACACGTGTAAAGGTGAGAATATTCTAGACAACCTATAGCTGATACAATATCGGACTCTTAATACAAAATATGATATAACATGTTATGCTTTAACATTCCCCCTCAAACGAGAGGGTGTGATAGACAGCCCGAGTTTGCGCCTGAAGTGGGAGAACTGAGAGTGAGCAAGAGACTTTGTTAGGCAGTCTGCTACCTGATGACTTGAAGGTATATATCTGATGTCAATACATCGAGAAGCCAGCAGGTCTCTAACAAAATGAATATCAATCTCTATATGCTTGCTCCGACTATGTTGAACTGGATTTGAAGCTAGAGCTTGTGCACTAATGTTGTCACACCACAGCACAGCAGGTTGTTTTAAAAACAAGCCTAATTCAAATAATAAAGATGTGATCCATTTTACCTCAGCAGCTCCATCAGCTAATGCTCGATATTCAGACTCAGTGCTGGATCTAGAGACCACCCTCTGTTTGCAAGAAGACCAGGAAACTAACGTATTACCCAGATAAATACAAAAACCCCCCATGGATTTTCGGTCATCAAGATCAGTAGCCCAATCAGCATCAGTATATGCCATAATTTGTAGAGATGATAAAGGTTTTATGTGCAAGCTATAACTGTATGTTCCTTTCAAATATCTCAGTATACGCTTGACAGCTTGAAAATGATTCACTGTTGGATTTGATAAAAATTGACTTAGCTTATTTACAGAAAAAGCAATATCCGGCCGAGTAGTTGTTAAATACTGTAAAGATCCTATGGCTCTTCTGTACAGAGTGGGATCTTTCATCAATTCACCATCATCGAATGAAAAATGTCTACCTGTAACCATAGGTGTTGGGACAGGGGCACAATCTAGCATATTAAATTTCTTTAACAGGTCCAATACATATTTCCCTTGATTCAGAAAAATTCCAGAACTGTCTCTAAAGACTTCAAGACCCAGAAAATAGTATAGCGGTCCAAGGTCTTTCAAGGAGAACATAGAATTCAGTTTTTGCACAAAACTTCTCAGATAATCTGAATTGTTTCCAGTGATCAAAATGTCATCCACATAAATCAAAACAAAGACAGTGATGTTACCCTTTCGAAGCAGAAATAGAGATGTGTCACTTCTTGCATTATAGAATCCCCACTGCTGCAAAATAAGTCTCAAACGATCATACCATGCTCTTGGTGCTTGCTTCAACCCATAAATGGCTTTGATTAACCGGCAGACATGATTGGGACGACTCTGATCTACAAAACCCTCTGGTTGCTTCATGTATACACTCTCTTGGAGAAAACCATTTAAGAAAGCATTATTTACATCTAACTGCCTAATTTCCCAGTTAAAACTTACAGCAATGGTAAGTACTACTCAGACCGTCGAAGGTTTGATTACTGGGCTGAAGGTTTCTCCATAGTCAATTTCGGCAGCTTGTTGGAAACCTTTCGCAACCAGTCGTGCTTTGTGCTTCAGTATAGAACCGTCTGCACAAAACTTGGTCTTAAAGACCCATTTACAATCAACAAGCTTCTGTGAACCATCGTATGGCACTAGGACCCAGGTTTAATTTTTCTGCAAGGCGTTGAACTCATCCACCATTGCTTGCCGCCATTGAGGAAGAGAAAGAGCCATAGGGATTGAAGCGGGTTCAGATGCCTTTGACAAGGATTTTGGGTCTTCCGCTTGCATAAGCCCAATAAATGGATGCTTGGGCTTGTAAATTCCGTCCTTGGCTCGGGTAACCATATGATGTCTATTTAATGGATCTTGTGGTGGATTTTGGGCTTCAACCTCAATATTGGGCCTGTTACTCATAGACTGATTTGCAGAGGGTACTTCATCATATGGGCTTTGAGGTGGAGAGCCATTTTGTAATACACTGTCAGTCCTTGAGAGTGAATCAGTACTATTTGAAGAAGAGCTCGTGGAGACTTCAATATTTGCTTCAGGTTGCTGATTTTGTGTTAATAGATTCACAGAGTGCACAAGTGGAGGCATTATCATCGTTGCATCATCTGATTCTCTTGCACCTGCTCTTTTATTTAAAAATCCTGTGACAAAAGGGAAGGAAGATGGATTAAAAACCACATGTCTGGACACAAATATTTTCCCAGTGGAGCTCAAACATTTATACCCTTTTTGTTGATTTGCTACACCCAAATAGACACACCTTTGACTATGAAATTGAAATTTGTGCTCATTATAAGGTTTCAAGCAAGGATAACAAGCACACCCAAAGGGTTGTAAAGATTTGTAATCTGGCTCTGTTTTAAACAATTCAAACAGAGGAGTTTTGCCTTCTAATACTGGTGTAGGCAATCTGTTTATCAAGTAGACAGCCACTTGGAAAGCATCCACCCAATATGTGAGTGGCATATGTGCTTGAGCTAGTAAAGTCAGTCCCATCTCAACTATGTGACAGTGCTTTCTCTCTGCGCGACCGTTTTGAGGAGATGTATATGGACAAGTAAATCTTAAATTGATGCCAGCAGACTGAGCTATAGGGACAAAAGGCTTGTACTCTGAACCATTATCACACTGCAGAGCTTTAATTTTCTTGTTGAATTGATTTTCAACGAAAGCCTTGAAATGATTAAAGGCATGTATAGCTTCCCCTTTGTGTTTTAGTGGATAAATCCAAGTATAGCGACTAAAATCATCGACAAAATGAATATAAAACCTGTGTCCATGAACAGATTGCACTGAAGAAGGTCCCCACAAGTCAGAGTGAATTAAATCTAAAGGCTCAGAAGCATGAGAGACAGAATGAGTAAACGGTAAATGTTTTGATTTCCCAAGTTGACAGGCTTCACAAAAGTATTTTTCATTCACAGGAATTTTCATATTACACCTGTTCAAAATTTCTTTCAAAATTCTAAAGCTAGGATGTCCTAATTTGTGGTGCCAATTTCTAACTTCATCTTCATCTCCGGTAAAACGAGCAACGTGCACTTGAGGTTGAAACTTAGCCTTACTACCCATTGGATACATTCCGTCCCTGGGCGTTCCTTGCATCAGCAATTCCCCTGTCACTTTGTCCTTCACAGTACACCCAGAATTAGTGAAGTTCACATCAACAAAATTATCTTCTATAAGTCTATTCACACTCATGAGATTTTTAGTGGCATTAGGAACTAATAAGACATCCTTGAGAAGCAGTTTAGTGTTAGAGGTAGGGCAGGGTATGAATTTTGAGCCAATACCCAAGATCCGACTCTTTTCACCAGTACAAGTAGAAAGATGAGACTTACCAACCGGAGCTACTTGATCAAGGTTGTCTGAATTAGGAGTCACATGGTAATTAGCTCCGCTATCCATGTACCAATTTGGATCTGAAACAGAGTAAGGGGAAGCATAGTAGGCATGAGGATCAACAGGTCGACCATAGTCTGATGTGGGCATAAAGTTTCGATCATTTCTATAGTAGCAGTTCGCCATGATATGTCCTGGTCGCTAACAGTAGAAGCAGTAGGTTCTGCCATTGTTACCCCCTCCTCGATGACCACGTGATCTACCACGTGCACCACGACCTCCACGCCAACCATTGCGTCCAGAACCAGAGTCGGAAAAACGACAATCAGGTGAGGCACCAGTCGGAGTATCTTGACGTTGAGCTACATTAGCACTCGGCTGAATAGTGAGGGAAGCAAAATGGCTAAGTTGTTCCAAGCGACCTTCAAAAGAAAGAAGGGAGGCTTGTGCATCAATCCAAGTGAGCCCAGTTTGATCAGCAAGCTTGACAACGATCGCGTTGTATTCTGCGTCTAGACCATTTAACGTATGGAGAAGTAATTCCTCATCACTGACAGGTGCTCCAGCAAGAGCAAGCTTATCTGCAATATTTTTCATTTTGCTCAGGAACTCTTCCATCTTCATTCCATTTTTCCTGGTGTGATGCAGCTCAGTCTTGTACACCATTATCCTTGCCTTAGTCGATGCACAAGTTAGTCCACGAGCACCACTCCACAGCTCTGAAGCGGTTTTGCAGTGAAGAAGCTGTGCTCCAACATCTT